GGAGGTCAGGAGCGTGGAGGGGGGGGACACAGCAGCAGCCTACCCCGTCAGGAAAAGCCTCTGCCAGTATCTCTGCTCCTGGTCCAGCTGCAGGAGAGGGGCTCAGCGCACCCCCAGCTCCCAGGGGTGCTGCCCCCACTCCAGCATACATCCAGCACCACCCCCCCCGACCCACCATCCCACGTTTCCAGCTACCAGCAGCTTTTATTTTGCACCAAAACAAACACCCGATGCAACAACAGTCCCGGTTCTTGCTGGGGCAGGTTCCTGTGCCCGTGTGGGGAACAGCTGCCATGTCCCCATGCCACCCACCAGGCAGCCAGGGCAGGGGCAGAGGGGTCTGATTCCAAATCCCCAGCTGATGCACAACCACTGTCATGAGCTGGTCAGTGCTCAGCGGGTCAGGATCACCCTCCCAGAGCCTGTGATGGGGGACCAGCCGAGTGCTGATGGGATGAAGCTCTGCCCAGCTCATGGAGCAGGTCAGCCCCATTCAGCCTCCTGCTGGGGGTCCCACAGAGGGATGATGCCCATGTTGGGGGCAGGATTGACCCCCCCTCGCCCTGGGGGAGGCAGAGCTGGGAGCCCCTTGCTCTGGCAGCATGGGATGTTACGAGGGAAGCCACAATGGGAGCAGGGAGCTATTGGGAGCCTGGGAGACCATGGCCGTGAGGAAGAGGAGAGCCAGCCATGGGCTGAGCACCGTGCAGGAGGTGCAGGCACCCAGTGCCCACCAGCAAAAGCCCACTGGTCCCAGAGCCCATATGGCTCACGGCCGTGGCCTCCCCTTGCTGCTTTGCACCATCCCAGCAGCATCCTTGTGGAAAAGGGTCCCATACTCAGACACAACCCCCAGCCCAGCACCGATACCGACCCCGAGAAAGGTGCTGGTTTGGGGGGTGGGAGCCCAAGTGGCACCGAGTGGGCAAGAGGGGACAGAGGGAGCAGCAGAGGTGACGGGCACAGCGTCTGCATTGGGCAGCTAAAGCGACTGGGCAGCTCTGGGGGCTCCTGAGCAGATGGTGGCACCCGTTTCCCCCCTCGAGGGGAGCAGGGAGGGAGCAATCCGGGTGCCAAGCCAAGCAGCAGCGGTGCCAGCAGAGCAGGGACCCGCTGGGCACCGGGGCCGAGCCGGGACTCGGCCTTAAGGCGATGGTAAAGGCTTCCTCGCGTAGGCAGGGGCCTCTCCGAGGCCGTGGTCCTCTCGAGCATCTCATGGTCCAGTCTCAGGGATGTCCGGGGTCTCCTTTAGCCGGTGGCTGGGATGGATCTCCTCGTCCCCCTTCCCTCCATCAGGACCTGCCCTCGCCCCCAGCCGGGGGGGGGAAGGGGCGAGGGGGATGCGAGGGCTGTGGATGCAGCAAGGACAAAATAGCTCAGGGTCTCCACGGGCCGGAGATGCTATTTAGAAGTCTGCAGGGCTGTGACCACCGGCTTCATCTTGAAGTACTGTTTAAACCTTAGCTTTGCATATCTGAGGAGAGAGGGACAGACGTGAGACACTCGTGCCCCAGCCCCGTGTCCCCCCTTGCCTTGAAGGATCCCTCCAGCATCAGGTGGGGAATCACTGGGATCCTCTTGCTCCAGGCATTTAACACTGAATTGCTCTGGGAGCAAATGCCCCCCCAGCCCTGGTGGACTCACCTTAAGAAGTTAAAGTCTATGGTAGAGTATTTATCCTGGATCAGGCCCCAGCATGCCCAGAGGAAATGGGATGCCTGCGACAGACAAAGCAGGGATCAGAAACGGGCACGGAGCATCCCTGCCCGTGGGATGAGCCGCTCGTGCCTCTCCTGGCCGGGTCCCAGAAGTCCCGTGGCTGTGACGACAGGACGTGGGGTGGCAGCCAGCTGGGGCTGGCCCACACGTGTGTTTTTACATGCCCTGGAGGCTGGTCCCAGCCTGGGCCAGGGATGCCAGCAGGAAGGATGCTGAACAGCCACACAACCTGCTCAGGGTACCACCAAGGACTGCTCAGGGACAAGGACAAGCCCCAGCAGGGAAGGGGCAGCGAGTGCTGCCTGCAACCCCCCGAAGGAAGGGAGGTCAGGAGCGTGGAGGGGGGGGACACAGCAGCAGCCTACCCCGTCAGGAAAAGCCTCTGCCAGTATCTCTGCTCCTGGTCCAGCTGCAGGAGAGGGGCTCAGCGCACCCCCAGCTCCCAGGGGTGCTGCCCCCACTCCAGCATACATCCAGCACCACCCCCCCCGACCCACCATCCCACGTTTCCAGCTACCAGCAGCTTTTATTTTGCACCAAAACAAACACCCGATGCAACAACAGTCCCGGTTCTTGCTGGGGCAGGTTCCTGTGCCCGTGTGGGGAACAGCTGCCATGTCCCCATGCCACCCACCAGGCAGCCAGGGCAGGGGCAGAGGGGTCTGATTCCAAATCCCCAGCTGATGCACAACCACTGTCATGAGCTGGTCAGTGCACCATCCCACGTTTCCAGCTACCAGCAGCTTTTATTTTGCACCAAAACAAACACCAGATGCAACAACAGTCCCGGTTCTTGCTGGGGCAGGTTCCTGTGCCCGTGTGGGGAACAGCTGCCATGTCCCCATGCCACCCACCAGGCAGCCAGGGCAGGGGCAGAGGGGTCTGATTCCAAACCCCCAGGTGATGCACAGCCACTGTCATGAGCGAGCTGCCATGTCCCCATGCCACCCACCAGGCAGCCAGGGCAGGGGCAGAGGGGTCTGATTCCAAATCCCCAGCTGATGCACAACCACTGTCATGAGCTGGTCAGTGCTCAGCGGGTCAGGATCACCCTCCCAGAGCCTGTGATGGGGGACCAGCCGAGTGCTGATGGGATGAAGCTCTGCCCAGCTCATGGAGCAGGTCAGCCCCATTCAGCCTCCTGCTGGGGGTCCCACAGAGGGATGATGCCCATGTTGGGGGCAGGATTGACCCCCCCTCGCCCTGGGGGAGGCAGAGCTGGGAGCCCCTTGCTCTGGCAGCATGGGATGTTACGAGGGAAGCCACAATGGGAGCAGGGAGCTATTGGGAGCCTGGGAGACCATGGCCGTGAGGAAGAGGAGAGCCAGCCATGGGCTGAGCACCGTGCAGGAGGTGCAGGCACCCAGTGCCCACCAGCAAAAGCCCACTGGTCCCAGAGCCCATATGGCTCACGGCCGTGGCCTCCCCTTGCTGCTTTGCACCATCCCAGCAGCATCCTTGTGGAAAAGGGTCCCATACTCAGACACAACCCCCAGCCCAGCACCGATACCGACCCCGAGAAAGGTGCTGGTTTGGGGGGTGGGAGCCCAAGTGGCACCGAGTGGGCAAGAGGGGACAGAGGGAGCAGCAGAGGTGACGGGCACAGCGTCTGCATTGGGCAGCTAAAGCGACTGGGCAGCTCTGGGGGCTCCTGAGCAGATGGTGGCACCCGTTTCCCCCCTCGAGGGGAGCAGGGAGGGAGCAATCCGGGTGCCAAGCCAAGCAGCAGCGGTGCCAGCAAAGCAGGGACCCGCTGGGCACCGGGGCCGAGCCGGGACTCGGCCTTAAGGCGATGGTAAAGGCTTCCTCGCGTAGGCAGGGGCCTCTCCGAGGCCGTGGTCCTCTCGAGCATCTCATGGTCCAGTCTCAGGGATGTCCGGGGTCTCCTTTAGCCGGTGGCTGGGATGGATCTCCTCGTCCCCCTTCCCTCCATCAGGACCTGCCCTCGCCCCCAGCCGGGGGGGGGAAGGGGCGAGGGGGATGCGAGGGCTGTGGATGCAGCAAGGACAAAATAGCTCAGGGTCTCCACGGGCCGGAGATGCTATTTAGAAGTCTGCAGGGCTGTGACCACCGGCTTCATCTTGAAGTACTGTTTAAACCTTAGCTTTGCATATCTGAGGAGAGAGGGACAGACGTGAGACACTCGTGCCCCAGCCCCGTGTCCCCCCTTGCCTTGAAGGATCCCTCCAGCATCAGGTGGGGAATCACTGGGATCCTCTTGCTCCAGGCATTTAACACTGAATTGCTCTGGGAGCAAATGCCCCCCCAGCCCTGGTGGACTCACCTTAAGAAGTTAAAGTCTATGGTAGAGTATTTATCCTGGATCAGGCCCCAGCATGCCCAGAGGAAATGGGATGCCTGCGACAGACAAAGCAGGGATCAGAAACGGGCACGGAGCATCCCTGCCCGTGGGATGAGCCGCTCGTGCCTCTCCTGGCCGGGTCCCAGAAGTCCCGTGGCTGTGACGACAGGACGTGGGGTGGCAGCCAGCTGGGGCTGGCCCACACGTGTGTTTTTACATGCCCTGGAGGCTGGTCCCAGCCTGGGCCAGGGATGCCAGCAGGAAGGATGCTGAACAGCCACACAACCTGCTCAGGGTACCAGCTTCTGTGTTTGCAGCCAGTATGACCCTCCTGGCGGCTCTGGCCAGGAAACCAGCTGAGATTTTGCCCTAAATGACCAGAAAATCATCTCTGCCTGCCCATGGCATTTACCAAAGAGGATTTCCTCATGCTCTGCTGCGTCCAGGGTCCACCTGACCTCTCCGAAGGGATGGCCAAGGCCACAGCTATCAGAGACACGCTGTCCTTTGGCATGTGTCAGGGGGATGGCAGGTAGCCAGAGCTGTCTTTGACCTTGCCCGAGGGCTCAGTGTCTCTGAGGTGCAGCCGGGCTCTTCAGGACAGCCTCCTACCTCAGGTGACCCCAAAACCTCAGGCTGGTACCTGCACCCCCATCCTCACCAGCCGAGCTGCAGCACGAAGCCCCAGCTCAGAGCAGAGCAAAAACCCACCCCATGGGCAGCCCTTGGGGGAGGTGGGTTCCTTCCCACCGCCGCCACCACTCACCAAAGAAAACTTGTTCACTTGCACGTAGAGAGCCTCCAGTTCCTCCTCGGACACTCCCGAACCTCCTCGGTCCCCCTGGGTGAGCTGCTTGTAGGCCTGCAGGTAGGAGCGCAGCCACTGCAGCTGGGTCTCCTTGCTGGGGTAGAGGCGATAATCCACCTCCTTCACGCCTGCGAGGGGAGCTGGGGTCAGCGATGCCCAAGGGGCAGGAAGAATCATAGAATCATTGAGGTTGGAAGAGACCCTTGGGATCATCGAGTCCAACCATCTCCCCTACTCTACAAAGTCCTCCCCTACACCATGTCCCTCAGCACTGCATCTAAACGGCCCTTAAACACAGCCAGGGATGGGGACTCCACCCCCTCCCTGGGCAGCCTGTTCCAATGCCCGACCACTCTTTCGGGGAAAAATTCCTTCCTAATGTTCAATCTAAACCTCCCCTGTTGGAGCTTGAAGCCGTTCCCTCTCGTTCTGTCACTAATTACCTGTGAGAAGAGCCCAGCACCAACCTCTCTACAGTGTCCTTTCAAGTGGTTGTAGAGAGTGATGAGATCTCCCCTCAGCCTCCTCTTCCTCATACTGAACAGCCCCAGCTCCCTCAGCCGCTCTTCGTATGATTTGTCTTCTAGGCCCTTCACCAGCTCCGTTGCCCTCCTCTGCACTCGCTCCAGCACCTC